CATACTCCTGATGATGCCTCTTGTTAATGACTTGCATCTTATCTCACAGTAGTGTGATCGAGTCTTAGTGCGGCGCATGGATTAGATCAAAAATCTAGCACTTAATTAATGTGATAGTTGGACTCGAAATAGGTGTTAATTATCAAAGAAAGAATACACAAGCTATGCCAGAGTAAAATTAGATAACTGGCTTATTCTGAGAATTGTCCACCGTAAAAATAAGGCATTCATGTGAAACCACAGTAAATATGTAACTTGTGGCAGAATTTCTTTTGCTTGGTGCAGGTCATGCATTCTTGACTGATCAAGCAGTATACGAAAGTGTGCTTATAACGTCATTCGAGCAGAAGGCCAAGTCACCAGTGTTTACAAGAGATTTGTTTATTAAAATTAAGTCTAAAACATTAGGTTTTAGAATATATTTCTATTTATATAAAATTAGGTTAAAAGGAATCAGGAAAACCAATCAGATTGCACAATTATGAGTAAGAATAATGGAGAATATTAATAAGCTTTAGATTAAAAAGGAGAAGCTTTCGCTCGTGAGGCATTGTGATTACACTCTATAATATTGAGAGAAGCTTCAAAGCATGGGTTTATCAACAATATCACATTTTTGAATTTTGAGTCTACAGGGCATTTTCTCCACCATAGGCAATCTATTATATGTATAAGATGCAATATCGTAACCTACCTATAAAACAAAAATCGATTGAATATCCAAGACAGCCATCGGTTAAATTGATGAATGATATTAAATTGGATGACAGTTGTCAAGTCAAATTTGACCGATTGTATGTGAAACTTAATAGATTGTGCTATTAGCCTCTTGTCATGTAATGGGCGCCGATGGTGGTACTACTCACGTTCATATTAAAAATATTAACAATTTGAATGAATTGCACTATGCCATAATGGAGCACTCGGGCTTAATCGCTATTTTGGCTTCACTTCAGTTTGACTTCCATCTTAAATTTATTTAGGAATTCACATATGAAGTTCAAGAGAAAACATTTATTTCCTAAACAAAATCTTTAATATATTGGAAAGTGTGTACACCATTACTCGACTACCAAACTAACAAAGCTAATATTTAGAAAAGCTGGTGTTCGAATAATCCCTTAAGAAATTCATGTTGGAGTACCTTTCATTTCGTTTGAAGAGGTGAGTGGAAAGGATCGGAAGGTTGGCATCAACGAAAACTCAAAGGGGCTTGCTTTGGAATGGACTGTAGCTTTGTGCGAATAGGTCCTAGGCATATCGCTCTGCAACCTCGATAAATATATGCTGACCTTTTATCCATCATTTTACAGACGTCGTGGGAGCAGGACACCATGCTTTACGATAATTTACCGAGCAAAAAGACAATAAAGGTGGCCGGCTGCAACCCTACGTTCTTTTTTATAGCCTAGCTATGTCCACTTAATGAAACATTTCATTATTTGATTGGAGATCCTCTGCTTTTCCTACATGCTGTCTAAAAGTGAAGTGACTGTAATTGAAGCCCGAAATGAATGCAATTGTGACCCAGTAACTGCATCCTTCCCCAAAAAACTTACAGTTTTTTGCTTGATCCTGAAATGGTGCCGCATGTGATTGCGCCTCATTACACATGTGTTGAGTGAATGCAATGCTCGTGAGACGCGTGCAGTTTGAGAGGGAACATCATATTTGAGGCTAATAAAACCTCCCCCTCTTGCTCGACGGTACTTCATTTTCTCTCTCTTCGTCTAATTCTATCCAACAGCCAGAAATAGTTTCCATTTAATTTCCTACACTTGTTCCTTGTACGCCGAGTATTGGCTGTTTTAGTGTTGATTCAACTGCGTTTTCGCAACTTAGTCGGAGCGTCAGGGAGACCTTGTAGAACGTACATAGTCCTGTGTCCTCTGCCATAGTATTCGTGTTTTCCAGCATCGGATAATTGACCAGCTGACTGCACCATTGTTAAATATTTGTTGATTTCTAAAGATTCCTAAGTTCCCACTTACTGGTATAGTTTCCTGTTACAGCTAAGCATTTGGCTATATACCAATCTATTTAGTGTCTATAAAATTGGATTCTGTGATTAGGAGACAAAACCAGATTACGGCAATCATTGTCGGAAACATTTAGCTCAGTTGACTTCTTTAAGTTGGAAACAATGACAGACAAATTATTCAACAGCATTTTTCACAGGTTAGGACAAACGATAATAAAAAGCTTAGGAAATTGGATATAATAATTAAGGAGAAGTATTTTCCGGGGACATTTAAGGTAGATTTAAAGGAAAAAAGTAAAGTAGGAGAGAAAGTAATAAACATGTACAAAAAAGACTTGGATATTAGCACGTAGGAGGGCATCACACTCAGAATTGTTGTTAATAATAGAGGTAGCGTGATGCATAAAACATCGCGATATAGCAGCCAGCAAATAAAGCAAATCTCCGAGGCATGTCATCTTTAAACAAGGAACTCTTATAAATTCGTTCAGTTAGTCGATGAATAGAAAATAGAAGGTAGAAATTTGCTTGCTAGTTTTGATGTAGGCTTGATTTACACCAAAATTACTTCAAGCGGAGCTGCTCAGGCTGTAGAATTAACTGTAGACCGAAATCCGCATATTCTGAGAAATACAAATTTGGGTAGGGAGTCAATAACGAGGTTGACGAGTTTACTGATGCGCTGTACATATTTTACTTTCAATAGTAAAATGTAAGAACAAACACGAGACTTAGCTATGGGATTATGTTTGTGCCAAATTTTAACAAAAACACTACATGGCTCAATTAGAAAGCCGCGTAATATAAGCAGCACTTTTAGTTGCTCTATTGGTTAGGTTCATAGATGACTAATTTGCCGCATGGCAATGTGACAAAGCAAACATAGGAGAATTCCCAACGTAAATGAATGAAACCGACGGGAATATCAAGTTCCTAATGGAACTAGAAAAAGATATTAGTTTAACTTTTCCAGATGTCCTAATTATCAGAGGGGGAAGCAAATTAGGTAGGAATGTGTTTAGGAAACCCACAAATGCAAGGCTCTTTTCACATTTCTCTTCAAATAATATTTATGGATGTGAGATGTATTCACCCTATTTCATTTAGGCTGATAAAGGACTGCTAGTATAATTTTTTCAAAATGATATGAGTAGGGCTGACATTTTCATTGAATTTAACATAGCCTTGCCCTTCCAAAAGTTGTTCTCATCCTGACTCCCGCTGGGAGTGTTGATAAGACCTATGCGAGGTCGAAACTGCAGTCCACTTCAGCCGGGATGAGAAAGCAAGGCTATATGAAATTCAATAAAAACGTCAGCTCTACTTATATGATTGTGGAAAAATTCTACTAACAATAAGCAGCTGTACCATTCGACTAGGGTCCTGATGTTCCCGTCGTGCTAGATCTCGAAAAGATAGGTGAACGATTGAGGAAGTGGAATATCAGAAAAGTGTATAGGGAGAAAATAACACTTTTTTAGTAGTGCCATCTTGTCGGGAAATTTTAGACATTCCTTCCAAATCGGGCTGCTAGAAGGTTTTATGTTCATATGGGAGAGACCATTCGAACCATAGCTAAGAAGTTATCTCAACATAATACAGCCTGCAAGGGTTTTTGGGTCCGAAAGTCAGAACTGGCCGAACATATAGCCCATATCAGACATCAGATAAACAGGTCTAAGGCCAAACGCTTAGCTGGATAAGGAGACTATACCAGTAAAAGGAAAATTAGTGAATATATAGAAATCAAAATAACAGCCAACACTGAAGAGACGGAAGGAGTGCAGGAAATAAAATACAAATAATTTGTGGCTGTTTGATAGGATTTTTGTGTGAGAGAGAAAGACAGAGAGAGAGAATGCAACGCATTCACACAGCCCGCGTGCAATAACTGCAATCACATGTGGTAACATTGCAAGATCAAACGAAAAAGGGTAAATTTTGTAGGGAAGAATGCAGCTGTTTGGTCACTTCACTTTTCAACAGTACGTAGGAAAATAGGAGGATCTTCAAGCAAATAATGAGAAATATTCACCATATTTCATTTAAGCTGATGAAGGACTAGTAGTTGAATTTTTCCACAATGATATGAGTAGAGCTGACGTTTCCATTCAATTTTACGTAGCCTTGCTTCCCCAAAGGCTGAAGTAGACCGTAGTTTCGACCTCGTATAGGTCTTATCAAAACCCCCAGCGAAAGTCGAATCATGACACTGAAACGTGCATTCTCGACAGGTTAACCACTTCACCACATTGCCATGAGTGTCCTTAGATCAAAAGACAAATAAGAATTTCAAGGAAGACCTGGCATTTTCCCACTTTACATTATTTGGTGGGATTGTCGATGAAGCAAAGTTACATGTGTTATAGCAATCGATTAGAATTACTTCTTTTTCGTTTAGAAGCTATATGAGATGGTGAATACATCTCATATAGCTGGTTTACTGGTAGTCTCGAAACTCTGTTTATAAAAGAAAAATCATGAGAAGTTTAACTAAATGGACATAGCTAGGCTATAAGAATGAAGAAAAGTTGGGTTTCTATGATTCTCCTGTTTCATAAATGTTGAGCTTACTTCCATTTCGAGTAAAAGTGTTCGGTGAATAGATTCGAAGGTCGATCCCACCTGTTGATTAGCTTTACTGGAACATTCTTATTGACTCTATTTCCGAGGTAATCTACTTCGCCTCTGTTGAAAATGTGCTAAGCTTTCGTCCGTCGTATGACATACATCATCAAAACAGGGTATCATCCTTACAACCGAATTCAAGCTTGCGAGTCAAGAAATCTCTGCACTATTATCCATTGGCCCAGGTGACTGTGTAGTGGAGTTTTAACTTTGCCACGGTACGCAAAACCCAGTACCAAATCACGATAGGAGTGCTGATGAGGAATAGGTGAGGTAGAAGTGGCAGTCCACCCCAGATGAGATTACATTTGGAGGGCAAGGCTAGGCTAAATTGAAGGCAATTCTGAGACCTGCTCATCTAATTGTGGGAAAAATTGTGGAAGCTAAAAGTTTATGATTTACCTTCTGCCAGACAGTTGAATGTAAAAAGTGTTTGTCCGGCAATTCGAATGATGATCGACTTTTCCAGATTGACCACTGCCTGCCCTTGAGAAGAGACACTATTCTCTCCATCCGTCCATATGGCAGCTGATTCGGATGGAACGAACGTGGCCGCTCTCGACGCAGGTCTCCGTTGTCCAGAGCAGGAGCCAGACTCGATGCCTATCGACGCTTGATCTTCGGGGTTGAGAAGCGAGCAACCTGCTTGCCTGCCTTGTCCCGGGTGTCGGACAACGCTTCTTCGGCCTGTTCTGGAGGAGATGCTAGCCTTTCTGGCGGAGTGTCTCTCTGCTAAGGCATCGGCATCCCAGTCTCCAGGAGGCAGCGTATAGTTTTCTAAGTGAGAAAAAGATTTGACTTGTTCATCAAATTCCGGGCCACCACTCTGTTGAAAGGTAGGAAAAGAGCTCGTTCGGCTGGTGGGTAGAGGTATGGGCAGAGCATTTTGTAGCAGCATCAAGATCTGGCCTTCACGGTTGCGTCTGATCTGCGCGGCAAGACGCGACTTCTCACGGCGTCGTTCTGCCCGATGCTCTCGACTATTGGCCAGCCCCGAGGGGCCGGTAAGTTCTGATGCTCTTGCACGCCGGGATACCTCTCGCTCGGCCTGCATATTTCTACCCGTCTTCGACCCCATTCCCTCGTCTTTTGCCTCCCTCGTAGTCAAGGCAACTGGAGCGTGGTCATATTTCTGGCAAATCTCATGATCTGGTGCGTTATGCCTCTTTCGTTTTTGTCCAGACGGCCACTTACTCCACTCATTTCCTCTGGAACTACCTGATGCTGGCCGGTCTAGCTTCATTTTCTCCACTGCCTCAGCACCTTCCCTCATCACTTGCCAAGTTGAATGGCGCTGTCTGGATGGTGGGTCCACGGACGTGAGCAGATAGGCCCGAGACCTCACAGCATCCACAGCATTAAGGATTGCGTTCACAGGCTTGGCTAGGCGTCTTTCCTCGGCAAATGGAGCAGAATGTTGTTCCAACGACTGGCATGACGATTGTAAAGTTAGTGCGTTTTCTAGTAGATCGTAGGGTTTGGCTGGAACTGGCTCTTGTCTTAAAGAATAAAGTAAATCCTTGCCAAAAACATAATTGTTGCGTTTGCCGGAAGGACCAGACCTGTTCAGCATCCTTTCAACTTCCTCCCTCCGTGATGGATCTATAATGAAATTAATACAAGGCGATTCAAATTCAGTTAAAATAAATTGAAATTACTGATTTACGTAAATTGGATATTGCCCTAAAAGAAGTGTCTCGGCCTCGTTTTCTCAATCCTGGCGTGTTGTCCTGACACATTCATACAACAGTAACGACATGTGTGAAGACCAAGATGGTGTGGGCCTATCTTAGGATCAGATTCCTTTCATTGTAAAGTGTGATTTTGATCTCGTTTATATGACTTAGCCGTGGTATCAGGAAGATCCTGATGACTACGCCTTGTTCATAGTCCTATGCTGTAGTATTCATAATAAGTTACAATTTAAGACCGAATACTTGATGAATTCCTAGACATTTTGCATGCATCATAAATTAGCTTTGCCATTCTTAGCATAATTGAAAACTATCTTCCTTCACTCTTGGTACACTCAGCTATCTCATACCTTTGTATCTCAACCCTCAAATATGACAACTTCCAACTTGTTTATTCCAACATACTCAAAAAGTGTACCCGTTTGAGCGGATTGATTAAGGCTGAATCACACCTATCCTCATAGTACCCAACTTGTTGACACAACTTGCCCCTTTCAATCCCCAACCTTATTCTTCCAACTCTCATGATCTTCTCATTCATGGACTTCATTATCTGCTCCTTATCGCCTTGGTTCACTGACTTCTTTTAGCGATTGTCCCGAGATGATTGCTAAGGCTAGACTGGCTGTCTAAATCAGAATATTGATAGAAAGATACCAAATCAAAACTTACCAATGTATCATCCTGTAAAGTTATCTGCTAATCCACTATTTATGCAATTACATACGTTTTCTCTCTGCACAAAGAACTTATGATTGTATACATCCTACTTTTTTATTAGTTATACTTAACGTAGTAAAAAGATTCCTAGATCGGTCTCACCAGCTGATTCCCGTTGTTTTGCAGTAGTTTAAATTATACTGCAAAGTTCAGGAGTGAGTTAAGAGAATATAAAGTAGGTGAACATAACATAAGAGGAGAGGTTATGAAGACCAAGATGGTGTGGCCTATTGTATGGTCGCAGTCTCTTTTAGTTGTGTAGAAGTTGATTGACCTTGTTTTCGCAACTTGGTCATGTTGATAGGAAGACTTAGAGGAACTCATCTAGTCCGAAGTCCATCGTATGCATGATAATTTCCAGATTCGGACCGTGGGCTTGGTACATTCCTAGACGTTTCGCCAGCATCGTAGTCGGCATCGTCAGTGAGTCTTGCCATTCTTAGCACCATACTACAACTCGTCAAAGGGACAAGTGAAGCCGATCCTTTGATCAAATGTGTGCTAAACAGTTGTGCTATCTCTCCTTCTATGCCGGACTATTCACTTTTCCTATATCCTCGTATCATGCTACTAACTGAATAGTTAATTGTAAAAAATACTGTTAGAAGACGAATACATGCTATAATAGAAAAGCTTAATAATATTACACAGATAGTTTGAAGTTATCTTAGAAATATAGTTATGTCCCTAAGGATACTTTGGAGAAGTATGTAGTACTACATCTCCTGCCAT